GTGATCCATCCCCCAGCTGCTTCAGACAGCCATCTGTCACTGTCCTGTGCCCCAGTTTCTTGGGGTGTGGGCCCCCCAGGAACTTCCATGCTGAGGGCTCCATGGTAGGAACAGGCAGCTTCTCAGCTCCAACCTGCGTTTCTCATTCTAAGAAATCTGGAAGGCAAGGCATGAGCACAGAGAGTGTTCAGCTGGCCCAGCCCAGATTCCGCTCACCCATCAACCCCCAAAAAGCGCCAGGAAAAGGAGACTGGGATGGGACGATGAGCAAAAGAAGGGAGAGTGCCGAGTTCTTCGCTGGGCTTGCCTGTTCTCTACTTTGAGCAATCACTCAAAACAAGGAAATCTGCCAGAAGATACATTAAGTCTGTAAGAAAAGAAGGCTCCGGGCAAAGACCTGTCAGTCACGGAGAAAAATCAACAGTCTATTGATTCTCCTCCTTTTCCAGGGAAGGGGCAGCTTCAGGCTCAGTCTTCTCCCCGCCCTCCCCCATCACACACACAGTTATACAACTGTGAAGGCAAAGAAGGACTTTTTTAAAAGTCACCAGGAAAACTGATACCAGGGAGGGGGGTGGACCAGATGGTCCTGCTTGTATGGAGGAAAGGGGAGAGAGGGAAGCAGGAGGAGAGGGAGGCCCTGCCCAGGGCCTGCACTTCATTCCAGGCCCACTGGGCGTCTTCTCTGGCAACTGGAGGACCCGTTCCCAAGAGTCATGACCACCAGAATGCTCCACGCCATCTGGTCTGCATCACAAAGACATGCAACTCGGAATGACTTCGAGGTTCTGGTTTTGCACACCCAGGAGTCGGCCTTTCCTGGCTGAAGAGTGGGTCTGTACATGAGGTCAGGACTGAACAGAAACACATTTCGAGGGGGGGTTCCTATGCTGCTGAGGGATCTAATGAGTTGGGGGTCCCAGTTTATTCCTCTACCTTCCCCAGGAAAATCATCTGACATCCCCATGAGAAGGAAGGTTCACCCACCAACGTAGCCACTTCCGGGTGGAAGCCACTTCCGGGTGGAAGCCGCCAGCAGGAAAGCAGACAGCAGGTGCTCCGTGAATCACTGAATCATGGAATCTGCAGGGTTGGAAAGGACCACAGGGGTCATGCCTTCTGAGCTTTCCGCCAAATGCAGGCCTCCCAGGTATCGTAGGCCATGCAGACTTTGAATAGTTCCCGTGTGGGGACCTCACTACCTTGCTGACGGAAGTTTTATTTCCCCAATAAGCCAGGTTCTACTGGAACCACGTGGACACATCTTCCCTTTGTCAGATTAGACAGTCTCAGCTATTGTCCTCCTGACACTTGTAGTCCTGAGAGGCAGACATCTTTCAAACACACAGGGTTGTCCACCCGAAGGAGGATATGGGAAGAGAATTGCCAGGCCCCTTGGAAAGTGGGAAACACCCACACTGACCCCGTAACATCCAGGAACAACAGCTTGGCACTGACCTCCCCCACTTCACAGCTCCTGCCCACACAAGATACCGACCGTCGGCCACCATGGACCAGAGGATGCTGAACACTCATCTACACACCAGCCTCGGTGCAGAGGAACAGCACAGAGGCTGACGATACAAGGACCGGTTCATTCGCCACCGCAGGATGGAGGCTCCAGAGGTGCCACGTCTGCGCCAGGCCTGCCGCAGCCACAGTCCCCTCTTTGGCGGCGGGGCTGGCACGAAGTCTCAGGCCTAGATTTTCCAAGTGCCCCTTCTACCCAATGCTTTGGACCTCAGTCTTCAGTTAATATTTGCTCTCCTTTGTAGCCAGAGATGTTTAGGGGTTAGATCAGCCTGTATTTTAATAACCTCTAAAATTCTTTTTAAGCTCCTCTGAGAAAAACACTACAATTACTATCCTGGTTCAGATTTGGTATATCACATTCACCCTTTATTTTCCCTTTTTTAAGGAAAGCCAGTGTGTGGCTTCTGTTATAAAAGCTTTAGGGGGAACGGTGGGACGCCCAGCAGAGCTGTAGAATGGTGCCTGTGACCGCCTGTCACAGGGTGAGTAACAGTTAAATGTGAATCTGTACTCTGTTGTTTCCAGGACACTGCGATACAGTCTCATGGGGTCTACACACTGGTTCTGAGGAGTTTGCACGATTATCCCCATTTGGTGAGAAAACTGAGGCTCAGAAACTGGACTTGGCCAAAGTCTTGGGGCTGTAAACTGCCGCTGGAATTAAAACTCAATTCTGAGATATAGAAAGTCCTCCTCAGAAATCATGTGCTCCATGCTTCCAAACCACCTTCCCATCAGGCTCCATCTTCCCCATGCCGGCAAAGAGGGCCATATGCCCTCCATCCCTGGGTTTCTGAGTAAGCATAAGGAAGAATAGGAACCCCGGGAACACGTTCAGGAGAGGGATCCCAAATGTGTGACCAGTCCACAGAGAGGGGCTGAGGTCAGGATGCCCAGCAGCCGCCCAGGCCCTGTCAGGGAATGCCGATCTACAACATAACAATGCACTGCCCTCTGCGGTGTTCCTCCAACCCAACTCCACCCCAACTCAACTCTTCCATCAGGGCATCCAACTCACTTTCCCCCTGTTGCACACTTAGCTACTGGCTTCTCTTTGTGCCCAAGATGAAGGCCAAGTGTTCCCAGTAAACATGCCTGGGGATCAGGGAGGTGCCAACAAAGATATTATGTCAAGAAAACAAGTCACAGAGTTTCTGCAGACAAAATCATACAATTTCAGAGCTGGAAGGAGCCTCAGAGATCACCTAGCGTGACTCCTTCAATCTGCTTCAGGAAACAGGCTCTGAGACTTTGACTGGCCTGAGTCACAAAGCTGTTTAGTGGCAGGGCTGGAATCAGATCCCAGGACTCCAGAATTTGTGCTATTGTCTATCGCATCATGTGTTACTCCTTGCACAAAAGTTTTTATTTTTGTCTTTTGACAGGTGGGTACACTGAGTCACGCAGAGGTTAAGTGGCTTGCCTGAGCTGACACAGTAGGTGGTAGAACCAGGCCTTGAACTCAGGTCTGTATGACTCCTAAGGCACATTCTTTCCAATATTTTTTTTAAATCCTAGGAATTACACCATGCCCTTTATGACAAGGCCTGCTAACCACTGGAATCTGCTAAGGAAGTATCTCTTGCCCAGAGAAACAGTCCTAAATGGACTTGCTACAAACACTAAAACCGACACAAAATAGGCCCAGTTGGCATTTGGAGTAACAGACAAAACACCAAGGCTGTGGGAGTGTTCCCCAAACTCACGATGACGGCCCTGTCTTTGCAGAAAGGCACGCTGCGGAGAAGGCCCGCTATGGGCTCTCTAAAGCCTTCCTGAGTCGGGAATCAGCAGCATGCTCGTGCTGGCCTCTCTCCGAAGCGATGGGGAAGGAGAAAGCCTCTGACCTCACCAATGGAGACCAAGCACCGGCACAGGCCAGGGCGGCTGTAAGAGGCAGGCTCCCGTTACCCATGCAAGCAGCTGACTGGCACAGCCAGGCTCGCCAGGCAGACATCCATGCGCCCACAGACAAGCACACACGTGTGCACATGCACACGGCCCACTGTGCCATCCGCTATATACATGCGTCTATATCCACACACAGACATGAACACACAAACCACATGCGCCCCATCTGAGGCCTTGCCCCTTGTCCCTTACTGTGGCGACAGCCCCTCGTGCCTCCCTCCGCCTCAGAGAGCCGCAGACACCTGAGCTGACCCAGCCCTCAGGCCCTGACTAATGCGATTCCCAGTCCACCGATTCTGGGGCTGGCTCCAGAAGCGCTGCGTTTGCTGCGTGCCGGGGCCACTAACGAGGCCTGGAGAGAGAGTCAGGACAGTTTACGACAGCTCATAATGACGACCGCTCTCGGTAATGACCAGCTCGCAGTGACCAAGTACGAGCTGATTACAGCCTCTGGCTCCTGCTCCCCACGTCCAGAACAGAGGTTTCCCGAGGGCCTGACCGCAGCAGATGGCCCCTTCCCCCGCTGCCCGGGCCGCGTGCTGGCCTCATCAGGCCGGCCTTCAGGGGCTCCTTCAAGTGGGTGGCCCAGAGCTGGCCCAGGCCCAGCCAGCGCTCTTGAGGGATGTGACGTGAGGGCCATCTCTCTCCCCTCCTCACCCTCAGCCCCAGACTCTCCTTCCATAGCATCTCACCCCTGGCGCCTGAAGTTCCGCCATCAGTGCTTTACCATCTTGGATTAACGAGTACCTTCTCTTCCAGGTCTCCTCCTCCTTCTGTCCCCACTCCCACCCAAAGTGACAGAGTCATTTTAAAATAGGCTCCTGATGCGTCTCCACTGCCAACAAGACAAATGCTCCATCCTTTAGCTTGGCATTCGAGGCCCCCAAGAGCTGACTTGGGCCAACTTTGTCAACCTCATTCTAGACACCCACCACCGTACACCTTATAAGCTGACCACAAAAACACTCACCAGTCCCCGACACACAGATAATGTCATGCCTCCATGTCTTGATCTCTGCTGGGCCCTCTGCTTAGATTAGTCTTCCAAGGCCCCATCTTTCCAGCCTGACAAACTCCTACCAATTCCTTGGAAGACAGCACAAGGTGTCGCCTCTCTGGAGCTTTCCCTGACCCCTCTCTAGGAAGAACTGTGCCCTCTTCAGTGCTCCCACGGCCACTAGTTCTTACCTATTACCAGAATTTCAGCATTTGATGACACAGTATTCTATTTATCTGTTTTCTTCTCCGTATCCCCTCAAGATGTCAAGCCCTCTGAGGGCAGGTACCGTGCCCCATCACCCCACACAACCATTCTTATGTGTACTGACCAGTGCTCAGCCTAACACATGATATAACCTCAATTCAATTTGACTGGCTTTTTTTTGTGTGTGTGTGAGGAAGATCAGCCCTGAGCTAACATCAGTTACCAATCCTCCTCTTTTTTGCTGAGGAGGACTGGCCCTGGGCTAACATCTGCGCCCATCTTCCTCCATTCTACATGGGATGCCACCACAGCATGGCTTGACAAGCGGTGGGTCAGTGCGCGCCCGGGGTCAGTGCGCACCCAGGATCCGAACCCGCGAACCCCAGGCCGCCGAAGTGGAGCGTGCGCACCCAACCGCTGTGCCACCAGGCTGGCCCCCTCAACTGGCATTTTTTGAATCTCTAACACTAACATGTGATTAGTTCACCGAGGCACCTCCCTCTCAAGGGCAGGAAACACCATACGGAGCAGCACAAAACAGTTGGGAGCCAGGGCCTGAGAGGCAGAACAGAAGCACCTTTGGGAAGCCCAGGACAAACATGGAGCTTTGACCTCCAGCTGGCCCCAGGAATGGGGAAGGTGAGGTACCTCAGTCCTCCTACGAGCTCACCCACAGATACACCCCACCTCCCCTCCAACACTCACCAGCTCCCACTCAGTCAGACCAAGGCATGATAAAGTGGGGTGCACTCGCCTTACCAAGACTCTTCGCAGGGATTCTCACTCAGAATCCAATTTAAAAGGCAACATACAACAGGATAGAATGGGACCAGCTAAAAACCTCCCCTGCCTGTACTTGTGTCCACAGGTAAGAGCCAGCTTCTGCCAACTGAAGTTTCATCTTCCTTGCCAAGGGCTCCGCTCAGGGCTCAGACCACCCGGAGGAGAAGGTGGCTGCTCTCTTTGGCTTTGACTATGGGGTCTCCCTTCTTCCCAGGCCCTGGGAAGAAAGATGCAAACTCTTTTGTCTGCACAACTTAAATCTCTTTGGATGTCAATCCCAGAGTCAGCATACGCAGTGTAAAGTATAAGCAGGCCACGTACCTCGTAGAAGCCCAACGATCATCTGCTGAATTAAATCTGTGCAAGAGTGCATACCTTCTGTGGATAGATTTTCAAAAGAAAACACATGCACACATACACACACACCACACATTTGTTTTTAAATGAATACATGTTAAGAGTAAAGAAGCTGTAACCAAGAGGCTGGGTGCTGGCCGGCATCTTGCGGGCATCTGAGGCCCCGCTCCCTCTGGGCGGAAGCGGCTGCGGGTTATGTGGAGGTCAGAGGTGGCCTCCATCAGCTCAGTCTCGCCCCTCCACTTCTCAGCACCTTATGCAGAGCAGACAACCATCCTTACTGCTGACCTTCTCGCCTCGCGGGACAGTGTCTCTGACTCGGGTCCATGGCCACACTGAATGTGTAACCACTGTGAGACACCTGCTCATTCCAACCACTGCCCCATAAGGAGCAAGCCTGGCGCCGCTGGGACCCCACACCCTCCCAGAGGGGACACACCAACTCCTTCCTCACATCTCAATTCCGCCTTTGAGTCCCAAGCTTTTAGCCCTAACACAGGCTGCTGAGTTAGTTGCTAGAATGGACAAATGACATTCTTTCCCTGCATTTATTTACCTTAATTAAGTTTTGTCACCTTAAGAATTACTATTTGCTTTGAGTCTTCACTCTGTTTCCCAGCCCTCATCTCCTGACCCCAGGAATGCCTTTCTTTACTTTCTCCATTAATCTGAAGCCTGACAGAATACTCACCTCCTCTAGGAAACCTCCCTTAATTTTTCCCGCCCCCACAAAAGACCCCTTCCTCTCTCAGGCCTGAGAGTCAGGACTAAGCGTTAAAGCATCTGAGGTCACGGAGAGCGGAGATAAGCATGGCCAGGCCCTGCTGCATCCACCAGATTCTTAAATTTGTGGAGGACAGGAACCGGGTCCTCAGTACGGAGGTGAGACCAAAGGAAGCCTGGAAGGAGCACAGGCCGTCTCTGCAGCAGACACGAGTACCCAGGTCGAGAGACGAGCGTGCAGGCTGGTGTCACCGCCCTACGTGGGGTGCTGCAGGAGGGTACTCGCTCTGCAGGTACCCGCTGTTTCTAAGGGTTTAGAGTGCTTATTGCAAGCCCATTTCTAGCTCTGCTGCCACAGACACAGAGGTAGGGATTTCCTACGCCGTAAAGCCATTTCCAGAAGCTGAGTGGATTTGTTGTGAAAGACACACCAATGTGAACTAATTTTCAAAAGGCTCACAAAGAAGAGAACACATCAGAGGTACTCTCAAAAGGAAATACCCCAGGGAGAACGCTGATAGAAGGGCTAGAGATGACAAGAGAGAGAAAAATCCCCCTCATAATCCTGCCTGAATGGGCGAGAACGCAGTGTAGGAAGCTGGTTCCTAATTTTTCCCCATTGCCAAAGTACTATTTTGGCAGCTCCAAAAAACTCACAGACGTCCTTTCAGAATTGGTAAATGATTTCCCTTAACTCCTGCCCTAAAGAAATACTCCTTTATTCCCCTAAAATCTGCAAGCCAGTTAGCATCTATTCCCCAAACATCAGTCCCCAGGGAGCTGTCAGAACAGCCTGGCCTCACACACCCACAGCCCTCCACCCCTGAAAGACCAACACCATTTACTCTCAAGACTCAAACGTGAGCATGGATGCTCCGCACTTGAGCCTAGACCCCAACCCAAAATGCCCTCGCAAATAACACAATGTCATCTCTTCAGGGTCCTTGCTTCCCCTCCCTGACCCACCAAGGAAGTCGGGATGAGAGGGACCCAGAGTGGGGCCTAAGTTATGGAAGGTACTCACGAACACCTTTAAACTCAGTCCCACACTCAGGACCCCGACCAAGGCCAGGATGACACTGAATTTCCAGCCTCTGGGACAGAGACTGTCTGAGACCAAGCAGTTTATGACTCAGCGTCCCTCCCTGAAAAGCCACTATAAACAATGACTGCAGTATCTTCCTCTGAAAGACCTGGAAGGCTTTATTCCATCTCCTTTCCATCATCACCGTTCATTTGTCCACTCACTCACTTGCTCACACACGTCCTGGGCACTCACCACGGCAGCGTTCCTCCAGGGATCTCTCGCAACACTAACAAGCAGAGCCAGAGGCCCTGGGGAGGCGTCGGCAGCACTGTTTGCCACTATAACTCAAGCTCAGCAGAAGGCACACGGTGATTTCACCCCCTACCACCAAGCCCCGGCCCCGGCTCCCGGATCGTTCAACATGCCCCAGCCCCCTGCCAATTTGGTTCAACAAGCGTCTATTTTCAAAGAAACCTAAGGTGGCTGCTTCTGGTTCACCTCCCTCATAACTCATCACAGGCTGTTTGTGGGATGTGGAGGGAAGCCGTCCTGAGGCTTGCCCCCCTGGACCAGGAAGTCCCTGCTGCCAGCACTAAGTGGCACTCAAGCCCAGGGAGGCCCCCACAGCAGGGGCAGCTCCTGCACACACGGGCCTGCGGGTCCTTGCTTCTGGGGACCTAGACAGCCAGGCTGCAGTGCCAGGTCCTCCCAGGCACAGCACGAGCGACAGAGCCAGTGACAGGCCGAGCCTCTAACACAGCAAAGCTGTAGCTCAAATATTTATTGTATGTGTCTGGCTTTCACACGGAATTTGCAACCTGCCGGTTACCAGTGTTTACCTTGGTAGAAATTCACGAGAAATTTTAGTCTGAACAGGCCCAGAGTTTATTTTACTGCCAGATAAACAACTTTCTTTGATAAATCATCCGTGTGACAGTGTTCCTGAAAGACTAAACAAAGATTTCAAGCGCAATCTATAGGCCTTTGAGAAGCCTTCCAAAGCTAATTTAATTCGCTGCTCTAAGCAGGCTGGGCAGGGCAAGGGTCTGACACTTCTGTGGCCATTTGTTCTCTTTTAAAAAAAAAAATACAGATTGGAGCCTCTGGCTCATTTCTGCATAACTGGACAAAATTTACCAATATTCAAATGTTCAATTGCTTCTGAATATAGCCTGTTTTTTGGTTAAAGGGAGCACATATCACAAACCTCACAAGGCAGCTGTTGGATAAGAGAGTGAAAAGTGCCCTGGAGATGGTGCTCAAGAAAGAGGAGCAGAGGGATGGCACCATACAGGGTCGAATGTCTCTCTTAAACAGACCCCAATAAACTGTGAGTACAAAAACCCATATTAAAAATCAGATTTCTTGAGCCAGCCCCAGTGGCCTAGTGGTTAAGTTCAGTGCACTCTGCTCCGGCAGCCCAGGTTCAGTTCCCAGGGCAGATCTACACCGCTCTGTTAGCAGCCATGCCGTGCTGGCGGCCCACATACTAAAAAACAGAGGAAGACTGGCATGGATGTTAGCTCAGGGTGAATCTTCCTCAGCAAAAAAACATACATAGGGGCCGGCCCGGTGGCGCAAGCGGTTAAGTGCGCGCGCTCCACTGCGGTGGCCCGGGGTTCGCCGGTTCGGATCCCAGGCGCACACCGAGGCACTGCTTGGCAAGCCATGCTGTGGCGGCATCCCATATAAAGTGGAGGGAGACGGGCACGGATGTTAGCCTAGGGCCAGTCTTCCTCAGCAAAAAAAAAAAAAAAAAAAGAGGAGGATTGGCAGATGTTAGCACAGGGCTGATCTCCTCACACACACACACACAAAAATACATAATAATAATATTCCTAAAACACAAAAGCAAAAGCTTCGGTGGGCGTGCCCTGGGACAGGTGCAGACTGTGGCTCAGCAGCCACAGCCGTCTGAGGACGTACAGTTTTGCAGTGACTTGAGGGTGTCATCTCACTAAAACTGCCAGTATGTATACAGTGGTTTTCTGTTTGCTTTGGTTTGGGTTGGGTTTGGGTTTGTTTTGGTTGTTTAATGATAGCACCTTAAAGCTGCACAAAGCTTTTAAAGTTTCTCCAAACGGGCTTTTATAAAAAGTCTTCTTCAGTTTAATCGTCTGTTAACGAGAATTAAGCAGGACATTCCATTCCATTTCCCAAAATTTTTTGCCAAACAAGCTGATTTCATTAGTGCTAGAATCCTCCTACCTAGGCTAATTTCCACCCTGAAACAATTCTTTTGAATAAGAAGAGAGAATTATTATGGATTGAGGAGCCACCATATTCCAAGACACACTTGATTAATTCAATTCTCCCCACAACACAGTAACACTGGAATCACCATCCACATTTTGCAAGTGAGGAGACAGGCTCAGGGAGGTTAAGAGACTTACTCCTGGTCACTCAGCTTATAGGGCTGGGATTTAATCCAAGTCTGTCTGGCCCGAAGCCTATGTTCTTTCTACTCTACTGCACTGCCTGCCTCTCCACAAAGAGGGAAATCAGTGCTTGCTGAGCTCTTTCCACGTGTCAGGCACAGACCTCAGTCCATTTACATCCCACAAACTCTGAGCGGAGTGAAGGAGCACCCTATGGCCCCTTCCCAGGGAGCTTCCTCCCCCATTCCTGGCAGGATGGGAACGTGATGGGCATGAAAGGACAGGAAGGAAGAAGGGTATGGAATCTGGACTGGCTACCCAGGTAAGTGCTGATGGGAACAAAAACTGTCAGTGCCAGGCCAAGTGGCCTTGAGCAATCAGATGACTAACTCCTTTATCCAAGTCTTATTTTCCTCAGTCCGGAAGATGAGAGCCTGGATTGGCTGATCTTTGAGGTCCCCTCCAGCTCAGCACATCTTCAGAATGACAAATGGGTCCAGAGGAGCAACACAGCACCCAAAGAAACGGGCCGCTTGTGTGGGCTGTGAACAGCCCCCAGTCTCATTTCATCCCTCACCCCCTCTTTCTCCACCCTCCCCCGGGAAAGCTTCAGTGAACAGAGGTGAACTTGAGGGTAAATCTTTCTTGTTCCCCTTCTCCATGATAGTTTATATACACATCAAATGATAAGGACGACATTTTGCCAAGTGAAATAAGCCAGACACAAAAGGACAAATACTGTATGATTCCACGTACATGCGGTACCTCGAACAGTCAAATTCACAGATGGAAATTAGAATGGTGGTTTCCGGGGGCTGGGGAGGGGGAATGGGGAGTTAGTGCTTGGGCACAGAGTCTCAGTTTGGGATGATGAAAAAGATGGGTGGTGCTGATGGTTGCACAACAATGTGAATGTACTTAATGCCACAGAACTGTACGCTTAAAAATGGTTAAGATGGTAAATTTTATGTTATGCATATTTTACCACAATAAATTTTTTTAAAAAAAGATAAGAACACCTAGGCAGTGGAGGAGGGCCACTCACAACCAGAGACACGAGAATCGCAGGGTGGAGGGGACGTCGAAGGACACCCAGACCACATCGGTTGGCAACTGATGGTCCCGGGAATAACCTAGTCAGAAATGGACTGAAGCACAGAGAGGGATAAGTCATGTGTCAGCCAATCCTGAATCGGCCATGCCCACACCTAAATCTGTGTTAGGACAAAGAAAAGCAGTTATTCTAGCAAGATACAAGGGCTAAAAACAGAACGAGGTTCGGGAAAGATTTCAATAAATATGCCGAGAGCAAAGGAGAGAGTTTCTGAGATGCACCCCTCACTTCCTTAGCGAGGGCCAAGAGGGGAGGCCTCGTCTTCCCAAGACAGATCGCTGGGCTGCTTCCGCCCTTGGAAAGAGCACTGAGATGACATGCAGTGAGTCCAGCCTGCGCGCCGGGCACAGGGCCGGCTTCCTTACACGCTGTCTCATCTGCTCCTCCCCAAAAGCTATACCTGGGTACTGGCTGCCATTTCACAGAGGGACACAGGCCCGGAGCAGTTAAGGGATGTGCCTAGTGTTGCAGGGCATACACACAGTGGCAGAGGGAGGCCTGAACTCAGTTCCAGAGAACGCTGTACCCCATCCCTGGATGCTGGGTTTCTGTGTCCTTTCTCACGCTTCAACATACTTTTACAGGTTCAAAGACACACAGAAAAGTGCTTCTCATTGAAATTTGCCTTATCAAAGTATCTTCCCACCACAGTTATAGCCAAGAAAGAATTAGAGATGGAGATAGGTGCACCATCCTCACCAGAGGGGGAAATTTGGCTCTTTTCCTAGCTTTTCCTCGTGGTTCCTTGACAGGGCTTCAGAGTGCAAAGAGCTCCCGGTGTGAGCTCAGCGCAAACTGCCCCGGGCTGACTCCTCCAGCCAGGACCCCAAGGCTGGGGGCCTGCTCGGGAACTCTCCAATCCAAGACCAAGGGTGAGCAGGGAATTGACATCACAGCTCACCCAGCCAACTGGAAGGCTCTGAAGGCTCTGGTTCAGCTATGGTCTCTGCACTGCACAACCCAACCCATGCACGGGAAGACTACTCAGCACGGGAGGCAGGCCGTGAGCCAAGTTACTCTTCCAGTACATTAAAGCGCCGACCCCTTGTTTTCTCGCACACGAAATGCCATAACAACCCGTTCCAAGTATTTACAGATCTGTGGACGGAATATGTATTTAGAGATCTTCAGCGACAATAAAAACCAGTTGTTTTCAGCCTGCCAACTCCACCCGGGGGTAACTGTTCCTTCTCCCATGTCTATTTAATTTTCCTTTGACTGAACTAGATTTCTGGATGTTAGGGCTTTTTTTTTTTACATATACACACACACTCAGTCACCCAAAACAGGGCATGAATTTTTCCTTGAACTTAATAAACAAGTTGTACATATTCACTTGGAAAGGAACTTTCTCCTTTTATAAAAAAGGAAGTCCAATTTCCACATCCCTGCCTTCCCCTGTCATTCATATACTTATCCGACAAACTTTTATTTTATGCCTAAATGTATAAGACGCGGTGCCAAAGACTATTTAAGTACAAACAGGCCTTGTTTTGTTCATTCTAAGACACAGATTATCTTTACATTTTAACATGAAGTATGTTTTCTTTGTCAGTGGTACAAAACGAATAGTGCAACTCACAGTTAATGAGCATCTTACGTTAGGTAAAATATGGTACACGAGACAGATCCCGCTCTCAAGCAGCTTACAGATGCTGCAGTTACTGTCCTGGCAGCCAGTTTTCTGCATCTGCAGGAGGAAACCCAAGGTTTAGTTTGGAAAGGCTGAACCCACTTTTTGCAAGAGATGAAACTGCTTTTCATAGTAAAACATTGTGCCTCCAAACAGCCACATGGCCAAGACACCTTGAAAGAAGACGGAGGCAGGGTGAGAACAGGATTAGCAAAGGTGCAGGAACCTTCGAAAATATTTCTTCTAGGAAATACTCCCAAATGCTAACAGTGAGACCTGATTTTTTTTCTTTCCTATTTGACTCATTTTAGTGTTACGAAGTAAGGTTTTACTCTTTATGGGGAAACATATAAACAGGAAAAAAAAAAAAAGAACCCTTCCAGAAGGCAAGGAAAATTTCTGGGGGCAAAGAAATCTTTTTCCACAGCAAGAAAATACTAGGCTAAAAAAGTTGCCACCTGAACTCTCAAGCTCGAAACACCGGAGAAGCCAGTACAAGAGGAGGCTCTGAAATACCTTAGCAGAAGTATACATCACACACATTTCTAGAAAAGCTTAAAGGTGTTTACAGATACTGAAGAAGTGAGGGACAGTGGCCATAGGTGGGGTCCTAACCTCACAGCAATAATAAATCAGATCCTCGCATCCTCGGATAAGCCAACCTGAAGGAAAGATGGCTGTGGGCACTGAGTTGTTAACAGCAGGATTATTCGAGTGGCAGCTTGCATTTACTATATTGGCCTGTTTAAGAGAAAAGTGGCACCCGGCTGTCATACAGCAGGAAAAGCAGAGAAAGAACAAAAAGCAGAGCAGGGCAGCCTAATCGAAGCACAGCAGGCAGGCTGCCGCCATGCTGAATTCAGAGACTTTGCACCATCTAACTTTTGGCTTTCCCACATCTGGCGCTTGATCCGGGCTGATCCAGCTGCATTCCTGAGCATCAGCACACGGGTGTTTCTACTGATGTTTTTCCCCGTTGGGGGAAAAAATGTGCTCTGAACTGAGGGGGTACAGTGCAGGGGTGGAGAGACTAGTTGCCAAGCAGACCTGCTGGAGAGCTAAAAATGCACTGTCCAGGGAGGAGGTAAGGGGTATGACCAGCTCCACGGAGGCTGCAGGAGTCCAAGGACGCACTGGCCGGAGGGCAAGTGTGCATGCTGACCCAGAAGGAATGCATCCCTTGTTCCTGGAGCTCATGGAGCGCCTTCCAACAGCTTGACGTCTTCCCACCGGGGATGTCACGGCCACTTAATGCAAAGTTTGATCCCTGGAGTAGGGAATAAAACGTCCTTTTTCTCCTCTGTTGTGTGTCAGCTTGCACTGCTGAATTTCTTTGTTTCCTAACTGAATCCCATCAGCGTGGCTGACTGCCTCCCTTCATTGAAATGAGCTAAACTAGGAAACAAGTTTCTCAATAAGGCTGCATTCTCCAGGGTGCTAAGAAGGGCAGAGCTAAGCTCAGCCCCCGCAGAGAGAGAAAAAAAATCCTATTTATTGCCTTATAAGAACATTACAAACAAAAAACCAAAAAGTCTCTCCTGCATCCAGATCAAAGAAGCCTGGCATACACCACACCCGTGCTGAGAAGACAAACTGCCTCCGGGGTAAAGCCCAGGGGCTGTTCATCTTCTCCTAAGTGAGGAAGCAGCACGACAGAGAGGAAAGGAACTCGAGCTGGGAAAGTCAGATTCCCTATTTGTGAAATAAGTGGATGGGATAAGATGACCTCTAGGGTCCAGGAGAACTCAAAAGTTCTATGAACTCAAGGAGAAAATAATCTCAGGGCTAAAAAAACACAGTCCCAAACAGTAATGACTCAGATTCACCAAGACCTAATCGATTATTAAAATAAGATATGCCCCTCCCTCCTGTAAGCAGTAAGCAGGCAGCCTGCTGACTTAGGAGGTACCTACTGCAGTGGGGAAAGGATGTCCATCCCCAGGTGAGTTACCTGAGCACCCTCTAGACCCTTGCCCCACACCAGAAGGTCAACCCTCCAGAGTCAAATTCTTTCCAAAGGCTTGCCTCTTCAGCCCACGTCTAGGGAATGTCTCCAGTTTAACTAGTGGCCACAAAGCCCTCAGCTACCAGAATTTTGGTGGGCAACTGGGGCAGTGGGAAGGGACCTGATGACAAGTTCAGGCTGGTAAGTTCCAGACAGAGAATTCGAGCATAAACACATGGATTCTCTTCTCACAGCTCCTTAATATCAGCTTTGGCCTTGAGTTTCCACAGCCCCCTCTTCAGCCGGTGAGTTATAAAATGACTCCACGATTCTCTAGGAAATCACTAATTGGTGTCTGGTCAGGGTTAAAAAATGTTCTTAATTAAATTTTAATTTACTCTGGGTAAGTATTTTTGTTTTTTTTTTCAAAGCCAGAATGGAATTGGGGATGGGAGGAGCCATCAGTTTTCCCTGCCAGCTCATGCAGCAGATTCTTTGAACTTTTTGTTTTTGATGAGGGTGGGCTCTTGATTTTTTGAGGAAGATTGGCCTTGAGCTAACACCTGTTGCCAATCCTCCTCTTTTTCTTTTTTCTCCCCAAAGCCCCAGTACACAGTTGAATATCCTAGTTGTAGGTCCTTCTAGTTCTATGTGGGACACCGCCTCAGCACGGCTTGATGAGCAATGAGTAGGTCCGTGGCCAGGATCCAAACTGGTGAACCCCAGGCTGCCATAGTGGAATGTGCGAATTTAATTGCTGTTAATTTAACTGGCCGGCCCCTACTCTAGGTAAGTATTTTTGGATACGATGTCTAGCACAATGCTTTGCTCTCAAGAAATGTTGAATGAATGGATACGTGAATCAATGAATGAGGGACACACTGAATTTGAGTCCCCCAACAGGAAGGCATGCCCTGCCAGTCACCTGCTCACACTGTTTCAGGGCTTTCCATCGCGCTTCCCTCAGGAGCTGAGCCTGACAGAAATCATATGAGCATAAAACATCAGCTAACCTATTACCTTTCAGAGTTTACTCTGATATGATTCCCTGGATTTGCTCAAATGTCAGGGGGCCAACTTCTAAAAATGAGTGTGGTGATTTACAATATCTGAAGAGGATCGATGAAATCTAAAAGCGGCCCCTTAGTTATCCTTCATAAGGGCCCTTCAGGGTCGTAGCCATATCTGAGCAGCTTCTTCCTGCCCTAGCTGTGCTGCAAAAGGCTTCCCGTCAGGATTTCTGAGAGATTTTATTTACGTCCTTTTGCTCTACGTGCTAACGTATCTCTGGGAAGGAATCGCACCCTCATTTGTGGAGGAAGAGCTTGTTGCTAAGGCAGTGTGGGGCTGTGCACCACAGACTCGACAGGAGGAGGCCCGCCAGGCTCAGCTGGGCTTCGGCACCTGCTGACGAAGCAAGACTGTGAACATCACGAAGCAAATGGCCCCACTGTCTGCAGGGAGGGTAATCCGGGTTCACACACATCACTGCAGGGCTTTCTACAATTTCATTTGAGTTCCTTTAAAATGGCAACAAGAAGAAGGGTGTGACTCAGACACAAGCAGCAAAATGCAGGGCAGACCAAATCTTCCTAGGGGTCCTGCCATCCTCCACCAGGAACAAAGGAGGCAGGCAGAGATCCCTAACGCAGAAATAAGGCCTGCAAAACATACCCATCCTCAAGAAGTTCTCTGTGGCCAAGGGTCTGAATTCTCTAACTTCCGTCTTCAGTCACGATGACCGATACCCTGAGAATAGATCTGTCACATGTACAATTTCCTTCAACTGCGTGTGCACGCACATATGAGTGCAGCTCATTCAGACAGGGCACTTTGCCAGCACAGGCCCTTTTGTGTACTTTATTTAATGTTTGGTTAATGAAAACACGGAGTAGGTAGCCTGAATGGACATAAAGACTCATGTTACCTACCGTTCCGCTTTTCTTGATAAGAATTCTGTAAGAAATCCAGCCTCAGGGACACAGTGCAGGAATCACGACAAATCAGCGTCAGGCTGAGCCTGTCCTTTGGCAAAGCAGGCCTGGCCCAAGCCACTTCTCAGCATCCATATAAAATAGAGGCAGGCGCCAGGAGTCGGCCCTTCAAATGGATACAGTTTACTTTTCCCAGTGGAGAGACTCCCAGGGGATGTGGAGCTCAGGTCTTCTGTGGAGCAGACTACAAGGGAGCAGCCCCAAAAGGCCCCCTGAGATCTGCTCCCCAGGCCACATCCAGCCCTTCTCCTGGGGCTGCAAATGCTAATTTAGAATTCCCTCTTAGCTTGGAGTAATTTGGGAAGAAGGACAGAAATCCCACTACTGTAGGGATGTCAATTTTCCTTGCCTGAAAGGACCTGACGCCCCACCCCCGGCTCTGAATGCCCTAAGCACTGGCCTCTCCCCCTCCCTTGGGAAGGCACCCGCCATCAGCCATTTCAGATCCTGGGTAGAGTGGTGCTGACACCTAGGGGTGGATGGAAAGAGAGCCAGTGCGGGGAGAAGGCCAGCCCAGGCTGCCCACTGTACCTCCCGGAGTGTCCACGCAGTGGTGTATTCCCCTAGCTCCTCTCTACTTCTCCCCAAGTCTGCCTCCCTCCATTCCTAGAGAAGGGCCCCAAAAACCTATCCAGTGATCCCCACACAGAACGGCAGATGCAAAGTTTGACCTGATAACAACTGGCCAGTTCCCCACGATAGCGAGTCTTCCATCTGCCTGAGAAAAGCAGCCCTTTGGGGAGGATGGAGGCAGAGAACATAAAGCTCCAAAAATATGCATCAACAGGCTCTCTGTTTACCAGGGACATAGACCAAGAGGAAGCAGGGTGCCAAACCCCCCGAGGCAGCAGGGGTGCTTTCTTACCAAACTCGCTCGCACAGAGATGTTCAATTATGGCTTCCGATTTCAACTCGTTGTCACATGGAGGACACACAGTTGTGCCTAGGCAGGGAAAGGGAGAGAAACAGGAGCTGTGAGTTATGGGGGTAGGGGAGCAGAGAGGAACCGCCCCCCTGAGAGAGATCAACCCCAGGACCCAGCTGAGAGTAGTTAACGGTCTACTGGAATTTCTGAAGGGCAACCTGAGAATTGAAAAGAAGAGTCCTTGAGCCCAGGACCTAAAACCATAAACAGACGTATGGTTTCTTGAAAATTTGGGGGCTAGAGTTGTTGCATATGGCACAACTATTTAAACCAATTTTATCTGGGACTGGGTGGGGCAGGTCCCATGAATTGTGGCTTGATGGGGTGTGGTGGGTCCCTGGGAAAAGCTGACTTGTAAACCAAACACATCTATTCCAATTCTGTTTCCTGTTCTTTCTCCCTCCCCTCTCCTTTAAATATCCCGCTCTGATTCCTGCCCCTTTCCCATTCCCAAACTCCCAACACGACAGCAGCTCAATCTGACTGGCTCTCTAGGAGCCAAGAAAGAAACTCAGCCAGACTCACAAACTCCAACTTCAGGCCCTGGACATCCCTCTCCAAAAGGGCTATTGCAGTAGATTCCTGCAGGGGCGGGACGCAGGAGCAGCTGGGTGGGGGCTGGGGGCCGCACTAGCAAGAGCTGCCAAATGGGAGGACAGAGCTGGACAGGGAGTGACCCTCTGGAGGCGTTTTCACGACACTGTGAAGTGCTTTGAAGAGGAGATGTGTGTGTGGCCGGCAGGAGGGCCACTGGGAGGTGGCTAAGCCGCAGCGGGAGGAGGCTTCTGAGGCCGGAGCCAGAGGCCTCCTCCCAGCCACAATGCTGCTGAGGCTGGAGGCATCCCTGGGAGGTAAAGTGCCTCCGTAGAAGGGCAGGGAGCAAGCGGTACAGTGGAATACCCAGAAGGGTGAAGTGGCTTACCATCACCACCACCACCACTACCATCACCACCATCATCTACCAAACAACTTGGAGTTTTGTCTATGATCCAGGAAAGCATCGGCATGTTCTAAGAACACTCCACTGCTGGCACGGCACAGGCTGGAGCTGAGGAGCACCAAAAAAAGTCACCCCAAGGCAGGATGGTGTGCTGAGCGACCTCTGCTCACATACAAGGCTTTTCATCCTCCTCCTCCTGTCTCCTCTCCATGGCTCAGCGAAATGGGCAAAGCCTCCAAGGCGATGACAAAGAGGGGGCTGCACAGCCCTCCCAGGCCAATGCCATCCCAGGACACAGCTGATCCACAGCTGGCCAGCAGACTAGCAACTGTGGGGAGGCGATGCACCACCACCCCTCACTTCCAAGCAGGGTCCCTGCATGGCCCAGCAGAGACCACACACCTTAGTCTTTATGGACAGACTCCTCTCCCACCTTTTCTCTGTACCCAGGGCGAGACACCATCCAGATTCTCAGTGCAGCAGGAAACACTGCCCCACTCCAAAGCATGAGACTGTCTTTGGCCCAGATGTTGTAAATATGCTTTTCAGCCAGAACTTGAGACTGGGTTCTGGAGGTAGTGTCTTGCTTCCATGGGGAGAAAAACAGGGAAAGGAAGTCCCACAATAGGGGAAGGACCATGTTCCCTATATTGGGAGAGGGAACTGTGCTTTGGGGTTTTCCTTGCTTGGGTTATTTTTTTAAAAAGTGGAAGTTATCACGTGGCAAGGTTCTATGAATATAATCTTGACCAAACAAGTAGCAGGGCCAGGGCTATGGGAGTACAAACGCCAGGTTCCCGTCCCCTCCACATGCTCACATCCTCTCCCCTGGACACTCTGAGTCCCCGGGGGCTCTGTACACCACAGGGAGACCTTCCTCAGTCCCCTCGAGAGGCCTCAGTGCCTCTCAGCGTGGCAGCAGCTCACTGGGGCGAGCTGCGTATGTGCTCAACACGGCTTTCCCCATCTCACTTTCCCTAGAGCAGACTCGGGTGCAGCCTGATCCAGAGAAGGGAGGAATGTGTAATGCAATATTAATCTGCGCCCCTCCGGATTGTCCTGGGGGCCCTGCAGGCTGCCTCAGCCGGAGAAATCCACCCGGCCATCCGTCTGAGAATAGAACTAAATCGCTGTTTTAAGGTGTATTTAAAATAATGTTTAAAGCAAAGGAACCAAAAACTAAAAGGTTTTGTGTTTCACTAATAAAGGGGGAGTAGAGGAGAAAATGTAACACTGGAGTCAGGATTAAGTGAATTTTTAAAAATCAATGCACACACGCGCATGCAGCACATTCTCCCCTCACCTCTCTCTCACACACTCACACAAGCACTTGCTCTCTCTCTCACTCACACACAAGCACACACATTCTCTCTCTCTCCCCCCATCATACACATACACACACACACACACACACACACACACACAGCAGGTCTTCCCTGGCCAGCTCCTCGATACACAGAGAAGGGACCCTATCGAAGGCTCTCGGGGGAAATGAAGGCACTGTGGCCTCTGCAATTTGTGACTAAAATAGCCAGCCTGGTTGAATGCACAGCTCGCCTAAACAGCAACAAAACTGAACTAAAAGGATGTGCTTGCTCATACAACTTGAATTAGTAAAACCTGGCAGGGCGGGGGAACAACAGTTTATCAGACTCGGAATGTACAGGTCTAATGCAAGTGCAAGATTTAGAAATAACTTTCCCGGAAAAACAACAATTGCTTCTCCCAAAACTGATGCTGATGCAGCTTGGGCATCAGCCTTTCGGGGGGAAAAGTGTCTTTTGACTCATTTCTCATTATCAGGTTTATCTTTAATAACACGTGGCCACAAATGCCTGCCCAATACTCCAAAACTGTACACGGCCAAGGATGCGAACAGAAGCCAGCCTACATCACACAGAGATTCAATGCTGCTTTGAAAACTCGGTTTTAATTTTAAAGAATAAAGAATAAAAGTAGTGCATGTGTACTTACTCTATCCACAAGTACCAGTTCTTATTCTGGAGCCACCAGCCATAAGACCAGTAGTTTGGTGTGTCTCAAGCTGCTCCTACACACACACACACACACACACACACACTCAGCTGACAGTCAGTGGCTATGCGGCCTCAGAGGAATCATGTGGGGCCTCCTCTCACTGGGGGCTGCAGTCCTGGGGAGAAACTGACCCTCTCAGGAGAGAGCCTCTCACCAAAAATGCTGCGGGGAGGACCAGTTGCCCAGTCCCACACCTGCCTGGTCCTCTCAGAGGTTTTCTCTGTTAAGCAGCTGGTCTTGGGAGGGTGACTACCTGAGCACTCCTAGGATACAGGAGAGAGGCAGATGGAACACAGGCCCAGACCAAGGAGGGAGCAGCTAAGTGGAACAGCAGCCAAGGAGTAAAAGACTTCGAGAAGACAGCAACTCTCTGGTGTTCCCTGCACCATCCTAACCTTTTGTGGGGGGTTGGGTTGGGAGGATTCTTTCCCCTTCATAAGTAGGCACCCCAGCCTGTCCCCCCATATTCCCCTCAGAAGGTGTCCCCCTAAAGATCTCCACTGCGTGTCCACTGACTGTCCCAGAAGGAGACAGTGGGACTGGAGCAGAGCTGGCCACGGCCTCTCAGGGCGGGGCTGGGCTGACCTCTCGCCAGGCTGGCCAGTGGAGAAGTGGAGAAGGAAAACCCTGTGGGCCGCAGGGGATGGGTCCACACCGATGGAACACAAAGTGCTTTGTTAGCTCTAGGTAATTGCTCAGCTCTCGCTCTCAAAGGGCTGCACTTTCCTGAAGGTTAACCCTGTGCAGACACCCAGGAAGCAGAGAGCAGAGAGACCAGACCTGGCTAGTGCAGGCAGGCTGCTGCCCCCACCCGGGGCCGGGGCCCATGCCACCCAACAGCAAGATCACCACTTTGGACCGATCGCCTCCCTCCCTAGAATAAACAAGAGCACTCAAAATTCAGGGTGCCCCTTTCCCCATGTACCCTCACTCTGGGAGAGCACACCCTTCAGTGGACATTTCTCTTTTTGGCATCACTTTAAGATAAGCTAGGTCAGCAAGCAGCCAGTCCCCTCACCCTAAACCCCCTCCTCACAAAACCCTTGGGACAGTGCCCCTGTGCTAAGTGCACCTGGGTATGGCTCCCCATTTCAGACTACCTCCACACCTTTGAGCCTCAACTCTGCTTCCGAAGAATCCAGGGTTGAATTCCCTCCTATGCAAGTCAGGCCACCATGCTGGGTTTTTGCTTGCTTGTTTTGTTCTTGGTTTTGGTTGGTTGAGGTTTTTTGCCTCTGCAGGACTTTTTTTTTCCTCCCACTCAAAAAGTGCCCTTTAAATGGGAGGGGGATTCTGAGAGGAAACTCAGGGTGTCCCGCAGGCTGTTAGCAAAGTCTCCGATTTGTGGAGCCCCACTCCCCAAGGAGAGATGAACAATGAGCTAATTACATTTTTATCTTTCTAATTACCGAAGGATTTGTGTAAATGAGACAAGCAGGGGGTACGCAAGAATGAGAGACAAGAGAACCCATCCCCCAGCCCTCCGAGGCTGGCACCTGTAACAGGTGGAGAAACAGAAATCCCCAGTTCCTAAAGGTTTTTCTCAGCCAGTTCCGCAGCCGTCCTGGAGCTATTCGGCTGAATGACTAGCTAAGGAAAGAGTCTAAAAAAAAATCCTCATCGAATCTATGGAAATAAACAAAGCTGGCCTTAGCATTTGCTCAGCGTTTCCACACTTTAGGTTTGAGGTTTTGGTGTTTTCCTCCTGGGGCATCTCGTCTCGGGTGTTAAAACCTTCGATGGGGACTCGGTTCCCTCCCAGAGGAGATACGAGCTCTCCTTTTATTTGGAGCGTAAGGGTTTGTTGCAGGTATGGACACTATGAGACGATCCCAGGAAGAGCCCCTCCAGGAACCGGACCGAGTTTGTGCGGGGCCCACGCGCAGCCACTGCGGCCGGACAGTCCCACCGAGCCCCCGGGTCGGGAGAGGCGCTGAGCGACACCTCGTTCGTATCAGAAGCTTTTAAAAATCATTCTGCACAGTTGGAGAGCAACCTCTAGGGAGCACGTCCGAACTCCGCGGCGGAGCGCGGGGCGCGGGTCGGAGTGGCAGGCGCTTCCCCGCAGCGCTCGCTGCAGTCCCGGGGTCCCCGCCCGCCCGGGTGGGGGCTCGCAGGCGTGGGAGGGGGCCGCATTACCTTGGGGCTTGGAGGCTTCGGTAGCATTGGGCGGGGTCATGGCGATGCAGACGTCCCCCTCGGGGAACTTGTCACACTTGAGCATCTCGGGCCAGTAGAAGCCGAAGAACTGCATGACGGGCTCGCAGGAGTCGCGCACGGCCTCGCAGAGCCAGCGGCACGGGTAGATGGGCCGGTCGAGGCAGACGGGCGCGAAGAGCGAGCAGAGGAAGACCTGGGTGCCCATGTGGCAGTTCTTGTTGAGCAGGGGCACCCAGCTGCTGGCCTGCTGCTTCACCTCGGCCATGGTCTCGTGCTCCAGAAGGTTGGGCAGCACCATCTTCTTGTAGCCCACGTTGTGGCACAGCCGCAGGTCCACTGGGATGTCCACGCACTGCGGCGGCTTGGTGTAGAAGCGCCCGCTCTGGTACGAGCCGATGTCCGACTGGAAGCTCACGTAGTCGTACTCGCTGGCCGAGCCTGCGGCCAGGAGCGCCGCGGCCAGCGCCAGCAGC